TATAGGTATACTTACAGATAAATCCAAACACTAAGATTAAAAATAAGTATCATCTAAATACAGAAAGGTAAGAGGAAGAGGACAACAGAGGCAGACAGACAGAGATAGAAAATAAGGATTTTTTAATTATAAATTTAATACAAATTTTTTAAAATTAGAGAAAATAAAGTTAGAAGAAAAAAATAACATTCATGCAGAATCTTGACCCAAGCAAGAACTACTGTCAACTGCTATCCTCAGTTTACTTTCAATTTTTAATAATAAAGCTATTAAGAATATACTCGAAGTATAGCTGTACCCTCAAGGTTTTATTATGCAATATTCTTATTTCTGTTATTTTTTAAATATAGCTGTTATTGCAGTAATATCCACCTTGGCTAAATGGTTACTCAGGAGAGTGTTCTTTAATTCCCAGGTGTTTGGTGCTAGTTACTGAATTTTTACTTTTGCAGACAGGGATTAGATCACAAGGCATGTGAAATTCTGGTTTTTGTGTTTTGATGTTTTCAATTATGATTTAACATATAATCACATTTATAAGGGTAACATGATTACTTGAAAGAACAGAAAACTCTTTTACAAATTTCTAATATACATATATTAACTCTGCCTTAATACACTACTAAATCCAGTGTCTATCTTCTGCTTCCATCATCTTTTACACACAAAATAATGTTTAAAATCTCCTACCAGAATTATTTTACTCAGTTTCTTTTATTTCCTCCAGTTTTTCATTTGTACTTATTTTTGCTATACCTTAAGATTATTGTCATGTCTTTACTATAGATATTTTCTAAATAAGGATTACTTTTATTTGATCTACTTATTTTTTTGAATGTTTAATGTTTTTTGTTCATACTCAACCAATAAATTACCCAATCTTTAAGCTAAGAATGAAATGACTAGAAAGTACACAATGTATTTTTACTTCATTCATTTGTTCATTTATTTTAAGAGACAGGGTCTTATTCAGTCACCACAGCTGGAGTACAGTGGGGTGATCGTAGTGTACTGCAGCCCCAAACACCTGGGCTCAAGCAATCCTTCCACTTCAGCCTCTTGAATACCTGGGACTAAAGGTTAAGAGCCATCATGCCCCTCTTGGTACATTTATTTTTGGCAACATAAGAAACAAAAGAGTTTTTATCCTAGAGGCAGGGTCTTGCTTTGTCGCCCAGGCTGGAGTGTAGTAATGCAATCATAGCTCACTGCAGCCTTGAACTTCTGGGCAAAAGCCTCCCTCCAAGCAATCCTCCTGCCTCAGCCTCCTGAGTAGCTGGGACTACAGGTGCCCACCACCACATCCGGCTAATTTTTCTTATTTTTTGTGAAGACAGGGGTCTCAAACTCCTATCCTCAAGTGATCCTCCCACCTTGGCCTCCCAAAGTGCTAGGATTACAGCCACGAGCCACCATGTCTGGTAGGAATAAAGAGTTAATTGCTATTACAAAATGCACCAATCCCCAAAATAGTACAATTACTTACAGTAGTAAAGTATTATAAAACAGCTACTTAATCAAGAAAATGTTAACACAACCACTTGCAGGTGCATTCTAAATCTAAGAAATTCACAGTAACCATGTCTAGAAAACTTTTTACTCATGTTACCTTTCAATGACATGAAAAACTGCTGAAAACTGACTTTAGAGTAGCTAAGAATTACCTTTTTATGATTAGAAACCCTTCTAAGATTGTCCTCTTCAATGTGAGGGAGCTGCAGGAGGGGAGACTTAAATTGCTGAAGTCCTTGAACAGCCATCTGGGAAAGCTTCATGCAGTTTTCTAGGGATGCCAAAGTTGGAGCACGAAACTCCCTTTCTTAGAAAGAATAGGAAAATAAACAACAGGGCTGCACTTTTTACATGTTCAGGAGTATATACAACTCACTACAAAAACAAAATTTATACTAATATCCTCAACACCTCAAAATTTTAAGATCATGGTGATATTCCTTTAAAAGCTACCAGATAAGACACTAAAAATATACAAACCTGGTCAAATGCCCATTTATCCAGCAACAACCATTGATTTAACAAAAAAACCCTTTGTATCACATCCAATAACAGTAAATTATCAGACATTATCAGTATCAAGAATATACTGACACCATGCCAAGAACTGACAGCATCCATAACAAACCACAATCACTAACTCCTTTTTAAAGGGTTTTTCTTTCCATTAGTGACCACAAATCCTGATTCTTTTTCTTTCACACAAAAAAACATTCCATGTCAGGTGAATCACTGTTAACATCAGTTAATGAATAATTTCACACTCACTGTTAAAAAACAGAATAACCTAACTCTAAAAATATTCAGAGGAAGAAAAAGGCTATTTTAAATCTTTGCAAGGCAAACAATAAACAATGAAAAAAATAAATTCAAAAACACACTGTGATAAAGACTTATACATAACGGGGAATAAAGAAAAGAAATGAGAAAAGCCACAAACAAAATTGAGGAAGCTGATTGAACTGGTAGATAAAATTACAGTAAGTACCCATAAATCTTAAAACTGTGAAGTGTAATCTGCACATGCTTGCAAGAAAAAGTACAACATAATTAATTATGTCTCCTTCTCACCTTCACGGCTCCGGGCCATTATTATTAGTTGGCAGATTACATTAACCATTTCTTGAAGTAGGGCAGGGCATTTTTTCAGCATAAATTGCTGATCTGCAAAACAACCAAAAACCTGAAACAAATCATTCTAATTTTATAGTTAAAGCATCTTTATCACCTGTAGCCCACAACTAATACTAAATTTAAGTTGTCCTACAAATATTTCACATGATCTCAGAATTTTATAGGTTGAATGGAAGAGTTTCTTCTCAGCACCACTATCTCAAAAATCAGTCAGAAAACCCTAGCTCATATTAGATGTTTCCTACAAATATTTCACATGATCTCAGAATTTTATAGGTTGAATGGAAGAGTTTCTTCTCAGCACCACTATCTCAAAAATCAGTCAGAAAACCCTAGCTCATATTAGATGTTTCAAAGGCAAATTTTTAATATTATGGTGTCAGGCTTAAGAAATCAACTCCCATCTTTTTTTCAAAATGGTCTTAATCTTAAATTTAATCTTCATTTTGCTATATTTGAAAACTTTAAGAATGTTCTTCTAGCACACTTAAGTTTCTATAGGTATACTTACAGATAAATCCAAAGACTAAGATTAAAAATAAGTATCATCTAAATACAGAAAGGTAAGAGGAAGAGGACAACAGAGGCAGACAGACAGAGATAGATTCTTTCATCTATACTGCATATAATTGTTAACTGTTAAGACCATCCACTGGGTTTAATAACCTAAAAAAATTTGTTTCTTGATAACTGGTAAAAATGGAGATAGCTACAGAACTGTACAGAACATTGGCAAGAGAATCACTAGTTAACATTTCAAAGCAACTCCAATGACAATGCTGAAATAGTGCTCCTTCATTCCATCATAAGCATCCTATCCTACCACCAATTAATGAATATCGAGTGGCCTTATTTTCAAAGGCAATTGATTGTATTATCGGCTTAAAGGAGGTGGGGGATGGTAAGATTTCATTTAGAAAGAACATTTATTTCCTAAGGATCACTTTCTTTTAAAACTTCAATTGAAATAATGCAGGTGAAGAGATGACACTCAAATTATTGACATCCCTGGAAATGCTGTCATCTCAAGCCACAGCTTTTAAGCAGAAGAGGGGGTTTCAAGTACTTATGGAGCTTTAAATAAACATAAAACAGACACTCTTGGTAACCACTCTTGGAGGAGGGCTGGTGAATGGGGGGGAGTGATGGTTTATGTGAAATTCATTTTTCTCTCCCCAAAAGCTCACAAAATCATTTTTAAAAAATCATTAGGAACTTTGTATAATCTGCAATTAACTGAACATTTCTCTTATAGAGCATTCTCTCACCTTGAAACACTAAATTTTAACATTTGCCAAAACATCTGACTTAGACCTTCAAACTATTTGTGCAGTAATTATGTGGCATATAGATTTCTTTTAAAAAGGTCCTTGAGCAATTATTTGATTGAGCAAAAAAGAACAGCGACAAAAACACTGCACCATGAGGTCTAATTAAATCCGTTGCTTCGGTCCCATTAAAACCTTGTAGATATCAGAATCACAAATACCTTCTTCAAGGGTCTCAGGAATTTTCATTCTAGCAAGATGAGATAGTAAAAGAACTCTGGCCTTCAGGCTATATGGGCAGGTAAGTGGAGGCTCATTCTTCTTTAAATTAATGCTGCCAATTTCTCTGATTAGCTAGAGTAAATAAAATAATTATTTAAAAATATATACTAAAAAAGCATTCACTTTAATACTTAACTGTTCATCAAGGAATTTGGAAGATTGGCCTAACCTGTGGTATTAGAATATTATCTGTTGGTCTGCTTGTGGCATCTTTATTATACTGAGGATCAAATTCAGAAGCTCCAGCCAAAACCATAATGAGACCTAAGAAAACAAAAGAAATACAAAGGTAAATAAATAAATTTGCTCATCTATTAATATCCTCTGAGACACTTCATTAATTTTAAAGTGAAACACTTTTCTAATAATGCAATGCTAAAAAATCATCTGAACTCCACTACTGATGAGTATTAATTTCTCCCATAAATAAAAGAAACATCTCACTTTTTAAAATATGTATAATATTATTAATACCTATCACAAGTGAATAGAAGTATACACCAAATAAAGGGTATCAAAGCAACTGGAGGTATTCAAATAACTTAAAATAGCATCTGTTTCTAGACCTAGGCATGTGTTCCACAGAAACTTTCTATAGAGCATTAATATACCATGTGATGTTAATAATTGTTGTGTAAAAAAGGGGACCCTATGGTTGGAAATAATGGGTTAAACAAAGTTAAAGGTTTCTTTACTGCATGACTTCTCAGAGCCTTGGGTAAACTAAAATACACTGTAATTTCCAGAAAATTTTATTATGAAACCCAGGAGGGTTTTGTGGAAACACACCTAATTGGAAAACAAGATTTGCAACCACATACATTACCATATTCCCTATTAGCCTGTACAAGCTCTTTCAGGATTGGCATTAGAGTCATTAATTTCACCATATAGCAGAAAATACACATAATGTACTCACAAAAGGCAGGGCAGTATAGAGGTTAAGCACATAGACCCTGGTATTTTAGGGCCCTAACTAAATGACCTAAGGCAATATTCTTCACTTCTTTTTTTGTTTTTATTTTTGTTTTTTGTAGAGATGTGAGTCTCACAATGTTGCCCAGGCTGGTCTTGAATTGACCTCAAGCAATCCTCCCACCTTGGCCTTCCAAAGTACTGGGATGATAGGCATGAGCCACCACACCAGGCCTCTTCACTTCTCTCTCTGCACCTCAGTTTCTTCACGTGCACCTCACTCACAGCAAGCACAGTACATGTGTGAACTATTACTATTACTAGCCTCAAATGTTTTCATGAAAACAATTGTTCCTAAGACAGACAGCTAATGTAACCAAGGATATGTAAACAAATCTACCAACTAAACAACATTTTTAAGTACCACCCTCAGAAATGAAACAAATCAAGATCACTGAGGCAAAAAATACATCAAAGCATTATAAACATGAAACACTTCATAAGGGAATCAGTTTCTATACTAACATTTCAATCCTACATAAGAAAGAGTAATATGTACATATAAGGGAAATAATATTCACTCATTCCTCAGAAATATAAGATCTGTTCACAGTCATAATGACCGTGAGGAGTTTCTTTCTCATTACCAAGAGAATTAACAGAATTGCCAAATCCAAAATACAGAAAAGTCCATTTCAGTTTTGGAACAAAAATGCATTCTCCAGTGAGGCACAATTTAAAACTTAACACTTTCTTTTTTTTTTAAAGGAGGGAGATGGAGGAATGTCTATGCTTTCTGCAGAGCAGTCATTCTGAAAGACAACACTATGTATTCTAGAGATAAACTTTACAAAGTTAGCTTTATGTGATCAAAGAAAGTATTTAAAATTGTACTTTTTCATAAGCAATTTTTAAATAGGACTCTGGGAATGAAATATTCCAGTTTTCTTTCAATACACCCAAGAACTCTTTATTTTTACCATGATTAATACAGTATAATACAGTGGTTTAGGGCTCAGGAACCAGATTGGGTTCAATCCTGGATCTGTCACTTACTGTGTATCCTCAGGCATGTTACTTTTCTGTGCCTCAGTTTCCTTATATATAAGATTTACTTAAAAAGCAGCAATTACTTATGGGGGCATAACAAAGATGAAATAAGTTAATATAAGTACAGTCCCTAGAAGTGTTTGGCATATAATAATAAATGTTAGCTAATATTACTACAAAATTTGCACACATAAAACTCAACCATAACCATTTCCGATGATATATACATATAATTGAGTAAATAGGAATAATGG